TAGAAGATGATGGGGCAAGAGAGATGGAGGGAAGGGGCCTCAAACCTAGATGGAGGGTTGGGGGCTCCCCACCCTATCACACAGGGTTAAGGGGATGAGGAGGGGAGGGGCCAGGGGCCACAGGGCATCTTTCAATCCCTCCATGGCCCCTGGGCAGGAGGAGCAAGAAACAGATGGGGAGATTTTCTAGGAGCTGAAGGGCCCCCACTCCCACCAACTCTACCCGACCCCATCACTTCTTCCTGGGGTCCGCAGCCTGGAGGTTAATCCCAAGTCACAATCCGAGCCCCACATCTCACTCACAGTCATGGACACACACCCAGGCGAGGATGCCCACCCACACCCTTGCACTGACCTGACGCCCGGCTCCTCCAACACACATACACCCTTCCCCACGCTCATGCCAGCCACTCTGGCCCGCATGTTGGTCGCCTCAACACCAACTCGGCCCACTCCCTTCTAAGCTGGGCCCCATCCGTTCTGCTGCAGGGAACCAGCAACTCCTACCCCCAACGCCAGCAGGTCTCTTATTCAAAACCTGCAAGGACTGGCACCCACCCCTGTGGCCCCCAGCCTGCTCCACCTCGAACTCTGCCTCAGCCTCACCGCCCACCACATGTGCACCCACGCCCTTAGAGCAATGCACCTGCCTGACCTCTACCTGCACACACACACACACTCCCAGACGGACGTGCCTCGGCCGAATCTGCCCTCCATCTGTGCACACACGTGCACACGCATACACTCATCCCCTTCCCTCGGAGGCCCCTCTCTCCGTCTGGCCCTGCATCCCCATCGGCCCAGATGGCACTCTTGGCCCTCCTCCGCAGGCAGGGGCTCACACCTCGGCCCCCCCGACACAGCCATTCACAAACATATGCAGACCCACCACGTGCTGGCAGCCAGCGGCAGCGACAACGGAACAGAAACACACACTTGGGCCCCTGCGCTGCCTCAGATCCATCACCCCCACCCGGAGGCAGAGGAAGAGGGAGCAGCCAGTGTGCCCCAGGAAAGAGCTCTCCAGCCCAGGTCCTGAGGGATATCGTCCCCCTAGCTACATGACTCACCTTTGACCCTGAGCTCACTGGCTCTGGGCTGCACACTCACCCTCACACACCAGTACCCACTGAGCACACCTAGACAGCAACCAACACACCAGAATTTCATACTCCCGCAGACACACGTGGGCACACAGACCCAGATGCAACGTACAAGCTGCCCAGAGACCCCATACCCGGCGGTGCCCGCCCCAACATGCGGGCTGGAGCACGTGCCGACATGCCTGGGGACACTACACAGGCACACGTCAACACATCCACAGAAACACACCAGCCCCACTCACTGTGGACCGGCCCCCAATACACACATACAGTTTTCACCATATACACCCAGACAAACATGCACACGGACACAGGGGCCCCTGCACAGGTTCACAGACCAACACATAAATGCCCCAGGCATGCTCACACAGTGGGGGCCACTCCGGACACACAGCCCTGCTCCGCACACACATGGCCACGCCTGCACACCGGTCCAGCTCTGCCAGGGCAGTTGCCGGCGGAGCCCCCCATCCCGTCCACACCCACCTGACATACACACACACCCTTGCCAACAACTTGGCAGGTCTTCGCTCCGGTCGCCCCCTCCGACCCCTTTCCCCGGGCGCGGGCGGGCTTACGATCCAGCGCACGGCTCCGAGCCCAGAGGCCGTGAAATTGGCCGCGAGCGCCAGGGGATGCGACTGCAAATTCTAAGCACAGGGAAGTAAGGCGGAAACCCGGCCGCGCCGGCCGCGCGGCGCGGGGGCACCGCAGAGTGGCGGGCGGGCGGCCGGGCTGGGACCCCCGCGGGGCC